GGCAGATGTTCTAGGCCTGGGTTCTTGCCCGCCTCGCGCCGCCGCGGGCGCTCGTGGCTCGCAGCAGTGTGCCTGGCCAAATGTCGACGCCCCCATCGCCCTGAGGTCGATGCGCTGCTGCAGGTCGTTCATGGGCATGCCAGGCCGCGCCGCTGCCCGGCCCAGGCGGGAGCGGGCCAGAACATCTGCCGGAGCGGGCCCTCGGCCAGCAAGCGCCTCTGGCCCCTCCTTTGCGAGCGTCGCCTGGGCTTGCGAATGCGCTGCCTGTGGCTCGCAGGTCGCGGTTATTTGAATTGAACTGCGCCGCCTTGGCCCAAGCGACAATGGGCAGCGTCGCGCGGTCCAATAGGGGGTCGCTGGAGAGCCGCTTGCCCAGGAGGAAGCTGAGGCTGAGACTCTTGCCGGGGCCTTTGCCGTGGTGGTCTGCGTTCACTTGGCGCCTCCACCTTGTCAACTGCGGGGAAGGCCAGCCCGCCGCGCTCATGCCGTGGCGCGTAGCTGGGGCAGGCCTCTGTTGGCCACTCGTGCTGCTGTTGGCGCAACTTGGGAGCGAATGGCGTGAGGCCGCTGTAGCTGCGAAGCCGCCTTCGAATGCCGCGCCTCGAGGACGAGAAAGGCCTGGCCATTGAGGCAGTAGTCCACCCCAGGATTCTTAATGGTGATGATGATGAGACTGATGATGATGGTGGTGATGATGATGGTGATTATGATGAGAAGGCGGATGATGATGATGTTGATGATGATGATGATGAGGAGGAGGAGGAGGAGGAGGAGGAGGAAAAAGAGGAGGCTCCCTCCTTATAGACCCCTACAAGGGTTCATTTCCACTGAGAGAGGGAAGTGCCGCTTTGGGAGACAACCGTTTGAAGATCCTGAAGCGCACCAGAGCACCATTCTCGGGATTCCAATGCCGTGAATCAAGTGTTGCGTCCTGCCGATCCCGAATCGTGATCGAAGACCATTCCTGCGACTTCAACACCGCGAATCGACGGAACTCGTGCGCCCTGACAATCCTGAATCGTTCCAAAACACCGCTTCCGCTACTTTGACCATGGGAACCTGTGGAACTCTTTCGCATGTTTAAGACGAGTGTGCGCGGCGCTAAGGCGAGAACCACATTTTGAACGAGAGCCAGCCGCCGTCAATCTGTCAATCTCTTGCAATTTACCTAACAGCTTTTGCTGATAGGTTTCTAGTGGTCTCAAAAGAGAGCAGCAGATGACTCCACAGTGGGGTCTGGGCGGGACCCGGAACGGCTGCCGCCGCGGCTGCCGCCGAAGCCGAAATCGCTTGGGACATCCTCGCAAAATCGCTCTTGGTGCTCCCAGAACTCCATTCCCGGGCCACATTTTGGATGCCCGGAGCCAACTGTAGGCCACTTCGTGCTCTTCGACTTCCCAGAACTCCATTCCCGGGCCACATTTTGGATGCCCGGAGCCAACTGTAGGCCACTTCGTGCTCTTCGATTTCCCAGAACTCCATTCCCGGGCCACATTTTGGATGCCCGGAGCCAACTGTAGGCCACTTCGTGCTCTTCGAGTTCCCAGAACTCCATTCCTGGGCATGATTTTGAATGCCCGGAGCCAACTGTAGGCCACTTCGTGTTCTTCGAGTTCCCAGAACTCCATTCCTGGGCCACATTTTGAATGCTGAGGCAGGCTGAGCTGCGGCTGAGGCAGGCTGAGGCTGAGGCAGGCTGAGGCTGAGGCCGAGGCTGAAGGCAGACTGAGGCTGAGGCTGAAGCAGACTGAGGCTGAGGCTGAGGCAGGCTGAGGCTGAGGCTGAGGCAGGCTGATGCTGAGGCAGGCTGAGGCTGAGGCTGAGGCTGATGCAGGCTGAGGCTGAGGCAGGCTGAGGCTGAGGCCGAGGCTGAAGGCAGACTGAGGCTGAGGCTGAAGCAGGCTGAGGCTGAGGCTGAGGCAGGCTGAGGCTGAGGCAGGCTGAGGCTGAGGCTGAGGCAGGCTGAGGCTGAGCTGTGACTGCGACTGCCGTTGCCACTGCGACTGTCATCGCGAATGCGACTACGACTGCGAGAACAGCAGAATTCGACAACTGGATTTTCATTTGAATCTTAAGGGGAATGCTTTCAGATATGCTTCTACACATCGCTGTTAGGTTGCTTTGCCGGGATAATTTTACCTAACAGCTCTTGCTGATATGTTTCTAGTGGTCTCAAAAGAGAGCAGCAGATGACTCCACAGTGGGGTCTGGGCGGGACCCGGAACGGCTGCCGCCGCGGCTGCCGCCGAAGCCGAAATCGCTTGGGACATCCTCGCAAAATCGCTCTTGGTGCTCCCAGAACTCCATTCCCGGGCCACATTTTGGATGCCCGGAGCCAACTGTAGGCCACTTCGTGCTCTTCGAGTTCCCAGAACTCCATTCCCGGGCCACATTTTGGATGCCCGGAGCCAACTGTAGGCCACTTCGTGCTCTTCGACTTCCCAGAACTCCATTCCCGGGCCACATTTTGGATGCCCGGAGCCAATTGTAGGCCACTTCGTGCTCTTCGAGTTCCCAGAACTCCATTCGTGGGCATGATTTTGAATGCCCGGTGCCAACCGTAGGCCACTTCGTGTTCTTCTAGTTCCCAGAACTCATTCCTGGGCCACATT